CGGACAGTCTGACTACATGACACCAAGCAAGCCTATGGACATCTCTCAACATCAGAGCAAGAACGAGCAGCCTGTTTCCAAGTGGCCCACACCACCCGATGACGGCTCAGACTGGGCTTCAAGTGTGGCTGCCAGCCTCATGGCAGCACAGACCCGACACCGATGATATCCAACATCGCGGGACCCATACTTCTTTTCGCCTTGCCTTCGTTGCATGCTCTTGCATCCATATAATTGTAATTTGGGTCACCGCACCCGCTCTTTGTCGCTCCCTATACGACCGTACGACATTGAGCTCTCCCGTCTGGAACGGTGCACGATTACAGAAAGATAGACACAGACGCGACGCGCTGCAAAGCCCTCAAAAGCAAAGCGCACTTCCTGGGACGGTGTTACTGGCGTCATAACACATCATCGTCCTTTTGCGCAACCACCATCGTTTATCATCTCACAACGTTAACGTTGTCGTTTTCCAATATCACCTCCACATTCGCTCTGTACCACCACCACATTTTCTTTTTTTCAATCATCATCTCGGGCGGCATTATACATCATACTTGTGGCGGATCGACGCGAGATTGTCGTCTGTTCATTTCGTGGGAAATTGTCGATACCTTGTCATCAAGTTACTTGGGTGTTACTGCAGGGATTGTCCGTGTTTGGGAAAACCCAGTGTACACCTTGCTTCTGTTTCAGATTCTCTTTGGCGCGCCTTGTTGGCGCTATCCCGTACTATACTAGACCGAGCTTTTTCCTTTATGTGCTTCATTTCATCGGCGGATACCCCCCAATTTGAGCATTTGGCGACTACATCATACCGTCAGCTACTATCTCCTCTACTATATATCCTTGTTGGTTAAAAGGGAAGGCTGGGGTGAAGGAAGGGAGGCAAACCATGTTTTCTTGGGATAAACTTGGTAACAACATGGGAGGTGGGTAGAATAGTTTTTGAGCGATCAACTGGCCCTGTTTCAACTCTTCTCTTTGCGTCCCGTTTTCTACTTGCATTCTCCTTGCGTACTCTCATCTCACTATCTTGACTTTTCTAGCGATTCCTCACACAACCCGTTGTAATATGTAATAGGACATATAGCCCAGGATGGCTAGTCATTGTACGTTTCTTGCCTCGCGTCTACCCACGCACAAGGCTCATGGGAAGGAGTTCGATACCACCTGGCTTGTTTTTTCTCCATCTACCATCAACAAAGCGATTGCGGCGGTGCCGAACGCGCATCTCCTATGTACTATTAGTTAGCCATCTCCCTACCATCAATGAAAGCTGCTCGCTTGCCTGCCTCCGCCGCGGCACCAGACTGCAAAAACACCACACTACGTCTCCGCTCTCCCATCTCCATGCCTGACCCTGTGAAATCAATCTACCAGCCTCGGGCCAGCCTTGACGATTGCGTGATCCGCTCCACAGGACACGCAACGCCACTGCGTCACTCGCCTACTCAACCACACCTCGACTAGCCAACGCATCACTCCCGCCACTGCCATGAACCCTTCTTGCGTTCACGACCAAGTGCACTAGCCACGTCTTCACGTACTTACAAGCATCTTCCCTAATCAGATCTTTCCCTCGCCTCCGAAAGATCTCCATCGGTCCTACTCGTGATCTTCAGCGTGCATCTGTATGGCAGTCATTCCTTACTTGGTCCTCACAGCATCTTCCCAGATAGAAAGCTGGATACATGGTACTGGAGTGTACAGCGGTGTCCTCGTCCACCACGGTGAAGTCGGCAGGCATACGCTGACAGTCAGCCGCAGCGTCGACCAAGTCCATAAACCTGGTGATCTTCGTCTACACACATCATCATCTCTCCTGCTACTACACCCAAAGCACAACAGCCCATTTCCACCACTCTATCTCCGCCTACCCAAACCGAGGTGTCTCAACAAAGCGGAAACGGAAGGTAACACGGCAAGGTGCGGCGGGGACGGCCCGTCGCATATGCAGGTCTGTGTACACATGCAGCCAGCCACCAGCCACTACCACTACCACAACGGAAAAGGAGATGGTATGACGTCGATTGTCGCGATTGAGATTGCGGTCGCGATTGCGATCACGAGGACGATTCAGCATGTTCAAGTGAAACTCTTTTTGCTTTTTGAGGGAGGGGCAGAGTTTGGTACGCATTAAAGGGGGGATATTGGGGTGGGATAAAAAGTAAGTATGGTTTATCTAGCTCGCGAGCGAGCGCGAGCGCGAGCGTCGTAGTGTTAGTTCAACACGGAAGAACTTCCCGGTGATGACTGATCTTGCGTTGTTTCATGTGGTGCTACATCGAGTTGATTGCAATCAATGGTCGAATCTATTGATTCTAGGATAGACTTTCCAAGTCTCTATAGAAATGATGCCGCATCGCCGTTACAGTATTCCCCATGTCTAAGAAACGCCATGCAATGCTCCTTCTTATATCTAATGCCGTCGTTTTTTCGTAAACATGGCTTTACCATCCGCCACCGGCGGTAACAGCCAGCCCAGCAACACGTTCCATGTCACTCGGCTTCTTCTTGCCAACATCGCTTTCGACCTTGATGTACGAAGTGTATATCAACTTCTGCTGATCGACGCCCGTGATATCAGCCCAATGTGCCATGAGCTGCTTCATGCGTGAACTCGATATTCCATCAACGATATCTTGGTCAGGAGAGTTTCCGTTCATCTCCCCATCTGCTTTCTCGTCTTCCGAGTCTGTGCCCGAGAAGTAGGCTTCGTCCACCTTTGCCAGCCACTCTTTCTGCTCCTTTGGGCCTGGCTTGGGCGCGGGCGCATCTTCATTCGCCTCTTGAATCCCTTCGTAGACGCGCACTTCTTCCACTTCCTGAACCTTGACTTGACCACCGCCGTTTGTGCATCCACCGGGACAAGCCATGACCTCCACGTACGCATAGTCCTTGACACCCTCACCCGCAGCAGCAACTGCACCACCTGGTCTCCTGCTAACACCCGTTTTGCCGCCCGGTAATCTACTGGCTTTTGCTGGCTTCAGTCGCCGTACTAAGTTCTGAATGTTTCTGAAACCATAGAATCGTGCTGCTTTAATAATCGTTTCTGAGCCACGAACTACTGAGTATTCCACTACATCAGCATTACGCCCTCGGACTGTTGATATTGTAGATCCCGGATTTTGAGCTTGGTAGGTTTGCAGTATGTGGTGTAGATATCCGCCAGATGGGCCAGCGGCTGCGCTTTGGTTCTTCCGGCGCGAAGGAGGGAATAGGAATGCATCTAGCTTTGGGTCTGGGAACGGCGTTCGGTCGCTAGATGGAAGTGGTGTACGAGGAAGGGAAGCGAAATTGATGCCACGGGCTGCTGCGAGATGTAAGAGTTCGCGAGCTGTGATTACGCAGTCGGTGTCGCGGATCTTTTCCTGCGACTGGTCATAGCTAGGTAGCCATGCAGCTGATGTTAGCTCTCCACGGCTAGCTTCAAGCTTCTTATCGAAGCATGGCATGATGGCGAGGTGCCATATCTGAGATGGCGACACGTTATAACGCTCGCTAAGAACCGACTTGATCAAAGTGCCGGTAAGAGCTTGTGGCGACTTGAGTCGCGAGAGATGCGGGAGAACGTATGGATGTGTCTTCTCTGCGTAGCATATCCATCCTGGGCAGGCAGATGTGAGTATAGGAGCTTTTGGAGTCGTATCGATTGAGCCCTCGGATCCGGGCTTTGGTGTAATCTTAGATGCTTCGGGAGAGAGTGCATTTGTGACCTCGTCTGCTGCGGCAACGAGACAGGCTTCGCGCATCGCGTTGGTGTCGATAATCCACATGAAATCGCTTCCTTGATGGCCACCAGACCTCAGACCTAAAGGTCCACTAAGAAGCTGTGCGATCATGTTTCCAGCCTCTACCTCGGAAATGTTGAAGACAGCTGCCAGACTTGCGCGCGACTGTGGTGAGACGCTTGCGACGAATAGCTTTCCTTCAGCATTTTGCCCATTCATGTCTTTCTCTGTCCCATTGCTCACATGTCCATTCGTATGTCCATTCGTCCCATTGTGCGCCAGCCACGGTGCGCGTAACGACGGGTGGGTATCAAGCGTTGTGAGGACCTCGGTATGCGATTGCAGCGAAACCAATACGGCTTCCGCACTTGTCACACATCCTGAACAGGCGAGACAATCGGTAAGCGATATCGAGGCGGGTGGCGGCGGTTCTGAGGCGGCGGCTTTCTCTTCAGTTGTGACTTCGTATGGGTTCTAGCATCATTGTTAGAGTGCGCCCGCGCATGACGCAATGCGATAACCTGACATACCGAGTTGTCTGCCTGTTGTACAGGGAGCGTCTCTATAGGTTTTATGCACGCGACACCCGGTGATATGAAGTCGTTGAGGTCGTCTGCTGAAAGAATGGCGCTCATGTTGCGCCGTGTTCTAGTGGGGGAGGGGTGGCAAGCGGTATTGCGATGAGAGTAAAAACGACCGCAGAGACAGCAAACACCACACTATGCAGGCAAAATTTTGAGGACTGAGTGGAGGAAGAACGAAGAGCGCGATACAATTAAGAAAGTCCAAAACTCACGCCGCCCCGATGTCGCGGAGAAAGCAGTCACGCAACGCGCTGGCCTATCGATAGGCTCGCATTTCCAAAAGATTCCGAGATTACAAACCTCCGCGGCGAGTCGCCGCCACACTACCTAGGTATCCACATCTTTTGCATGCCCGCCGTCACTTCTCACGTGCTTACACATGCCAATGTCGAGTACAGCAGGAACATATATCCACACTTGGCTACATTAGCTGCCGCAATATACTCGCTCACGGAGTATAGGAGCATACAGCATGCGGGGCGCATGCTGTTCGGCAGATCGATTTAGCCTGGCAAGCCGCGCATCGAATGGTCGGAAGGAAGGCAACAAACTTGGAAATGACCAACATGAATATAGTATTTCGCTTTACTCCTGACCATGCCGTGCCACGGGAGTCTGACTTGCTCACCATGTTTTCTTTCCTCACACCTCTGCAGTGTTGCTCCTGCGTACCGCCCGCATGCGACGCATTTCCATTGATACCCTGGGACTGATGTCTTCCAAGAGCGGCACGAGGTTTGAGGTCGCAAGGAAAAGGAGTGGGTGGATGTCAGCGCCTAGACTGCTGACGACATGTGTCTTCTTCAGTGTCTTGTGGTTGTGGTTCAACATAGGGACAAGTGAAGCCCTGATACCAGAGGATTCGTCCGCCTATGTACAGGACGAGAGCTTAAGAGACATACTGAACATAACTCTAGGAGTACAGCCTATTAGCTTCCCACGTTCTGCTATACACTAACACACCCAAGTTTGAGAAGATTCTCGTCCTCAACCTGCCCTTCCGGACCGATCGTCGCGATGCAATGAGTCTTTCAGCAGCAGTTTCCAACATCAAGCTCGAGTTCGTCGAAGGCGTAACAGGGGAGAGTATCAACAACAAGGCATATCCTCTACCAGAAGAGAACAGAAAGCTTTCAGCAGGTATCCGAGGAAGTTGGAGAACACACATGAACGCCCTACAACAGTACACATTCTCCACCCTTGACCAGGAGACATCATCGACCTAACAACATTCAGAGTAGTCAATCAAAACCTTACTACGGCCCTCATCCTAGAAGATGACGTAGACTGGGACATCCGCGTCCGCCAAACCCTACAACGCTTCGCCCTCGCCTCCCGCTTCCTATCCTCAAACCACACGTCCATCCCCCTCTCCAAACTGCAAGCCCGCCGAAACACCGAAACAACACACACCGCCCTCCAAATCATCGACACAACCAACCTCGCCAAAAAGCTCATCTCCCTCCCTCTATCATCCCTCCCACGCCAATCCCACCTTACCCACACCTCATCACCACCATCACCCTACGGCGACCCCACAAAATGGGACATACTCTGGCTCGGCCACTGCGGAACCGGCATGCCACGTGCAGCCCCCGGTCAGCACTCCCAAGTCTACGACCACGCAGTCCACCGCACGATAACCCTAACGCACACCAACGACGCCACGGTACCCTCACCCCAGCACCTAAAAGCCCATCCTTTCCAAGGCGAACTAGACGCCCTAGCCACCGCTTTCCCACCACACACACGCATCTACCACCGCGCCACAGGCGGCACCCTCTGTACAGTCGGATACGCCGTCTCGCAACGCGGCGCCCGGCGCTTGTTGCATCAATTTGGGGTGGCGGGTTGGAACGGGATTTTCGACAGTGAGCTTGGGCGGTGGTGTGCTGGGAACGATCCGGATATGGGGCGGCAGGCTCAGCACGCTTCTGGCAGTGCTAGGGGAGGTGGCGGCGTGGGTGTGAAGGGGGATGAGAGGGTTTGTCTAACGACTCAACCACCGGTTTTCGCACACCATCATCCGAGTGGTGGGGAGAGTGATATTGGTGGTTTGGGAGGCGGGTTTGCGAAGGGGGTTGAGACGAAGTATTTGAGGTATAGTGTTAGGATGAATTTGGGGGCGTTGGTTGGGAGGACGGGAGGGGAGGTTGGGGCGGAGGGATTGGTGGATCAGTGGCCTGATGGGGGAGAATGAGGGTATGGATAGGAGGCCGGTCTTGTGTATAGGCATGAAAGCGGGCCAGGCAGGGACGATTGAGTGAAGTGTCATGAGTAGTGGTTATTCTTCAACTTCTCTGCCCTAGCTATTGAGATCCACCTACTGTGGCTTTTCTTTCGCTCTTTAGATCACCTCTTCCTCCTCCTCCTCCTTCTCCAATCAATGCACGAATCCTTTCCCAAAGACAAAACTTCCCGGTACCCGCCGAGGCGTTCTTCCTTTCTCCCTCCAACCTGATGATTAAAATAGGAACGAACGACTCGAAGGTATCATGAACAAACAGGCGGCCGTCCCGTCGTGCCCTTCCTTGTAACGCCAATGAAAAGCCAAAATAATGCTCCCTATAAACAATGCACAAGCTCACTGGGTATAATGACCTTGCGCCTTTTGTGTTCAAATAGACCCAATGCGTGCTGTAGATGGTAGCTTCGACATGACTCCGGGCTCTGCTGGTTGCATGATCGGTGTTGCGCCTGTGTTATATGCTATCGCCTTTGCGCGATCCAGTAATTTGCGTGCACAGTAGTGCAGATCGTCTGTCCTGGTCGGGTCGGCTGGTTGCCGGTGGCTTCATCCAACAACGTTTCGTGCTCGAGTCCGTCTTGATCCTCCAATCGCAGAGACCAAACGTGCGGAATGTCGAACACAAGTATCCTACGCATGGCAAAATCGCGTCCCTCAAAATCCTCAATGCTTTTGCGCGACCAGCTCTTCACTCAATCAGCGGTTTCCGTACGCCTCCCACAATTGCGATACCGAGTGCGCGCAAGCCTTCTGGGTCGTTGGATCGAACAATGGTACTGGCGGGCAACATGGGGTTGTCAGGTGTGACGTGTGCGGCGTCCTTGGCTGCCTGCTCAATGGCCTCCATTTCCTCTTTACAGCCTGCATGGTCAAAAGGACATACCACAATGGGCTGACGGAGCAGGATGTCTCGGGCTGACGACATTTGCGCCTGCGTTCAGTCAGCATAATTTTCAACTTGCAATTCGCCCAGTCCAGCCTACCTTGACAGTGAGGTAGTACTCAATCTTGTATAGAGTACCAGTCGTCGTAAAACCAGTAACAGCGTACATGGGAAACTCCTTCTGCCCTCTTGGGATAACACCTGCGTTGTCTCGTAGATCTTTTGCGGGGAAGACTAGCCCGAGGTTCGTGAAATAGCCCGCTTCGGGCATCCTCACTCCGACGTGTTGCTGTGTTTTTGCCAGCGTCTTGACTTTACGAGTCGGCTCATCTCCTTCGTGGTTGAAGATGATCTCTTCGTCTATGCCGACTGTGATCTTATTGATTGTGACCTTCTTCGCCTTGCTCAGCCAGTCGGGGTTGGGACTCAATTTGATGTATACTGAGACTGGGTCCATGGGTCCATAACTCCATCTCGGCAGGCTGATGCCAAGGGTGACGAGGTGGTCCGTCACTCGCTCTGCGCTTTCGGGTCGATTGTACATGCCAAAGGTAGAGAGGGTGTCGTATCGTTGTATCGGCACGGCAAAGGGATACTTCTTCTGTTCCTGGGGCCCTTGCTGTACTGTCACGACGAGTTCGTAAAACGTCTCCGCCGTCCGACTCGGTAATTGTAGACTCGCGGGCGGGACTCTCCTCGCTACCTCCTCGCCGCCGCGTCCGTACGGTATGAAGATGACGAACGGGAGGTCCATACATAGTATACTCTCATGCTCTCTTCCGGGCGAACATCGATATAGGAGCATCTCCTTACCGACGATGTCGGTAATCTCTTTGCGCGGGGCTGCCAGATGCTTCTTCGTAACCGAGTCGGCGGACGGGTGTATGGTTTCGCGACGGTGCAATGCGATGGTGACGAGGGAGACATTGACGGGCGCCGATACTCCAATGAGTGGCCGTATCTCGACTTTGCCTTCTATTCGAGGCTGTGACATGTCAGCAATGGCCAGTACCCTTGTCGAAGGGGAGTCGGTCATACAGCGACTCGACGCGGCTGGATGGAGCGCAAGACGCCCACTCATAACGGAAACAGACTGGAGACACGTACTAGTGTTGCTGATATGCCCGGATAGCCAACCAGAAAGTTACTGTTGGGCGGTCCTGAGACGCGAACGAAGGCCGACATGTTCGTTTCTCGCAGCGCAGGCCTGGGAGGGCAGCGGGCGCTGCATGGGCGTGTCCGTGGCCTTTCAGAATGCGGTGCCCTCGTCCGAGTCGCGCGCTGGAGGCTCTAGGGTGGTGATGCGCCGGGCAGCTATGCCGTGCTGGGAGCTAGGTAGCCTTCCGGGCAGCCAATTGTGGGGTTGAGATGATGTAGGCGCCTCGTATCTCGAACCCGCGGGGCTCAGCGTGGCAGTGAGGCCGGTGGATGCGCGGCGGGCCGACGGCTAAGGTTTGCGATGTAGGAATGGGCGTGTCTTGGGTGAATGCGCGGGGATACTGTGGTGGATTACGTCCCGAGCGTGGTAGGGCTGTCGCCGGGTGGAGCTTATGCGGCGGCGCTTATGATGAGGTCGGCCGTCTGCCAGTGTCGCGAGCAGAGGAGGCAGCGTGGGCAGCGGGCGGTAGCAATGATGATGACAGCGAATGCAGGGCGATTGCACACAGTAAGCGCAGTCGGATACACGCGCGATGTTCTAGGCGCGACGAGGTGGAGGTGGATGGGCGCTCGACTTCGAGGGTCCGATTCGTGCGCCATCATCGCTCCTTCCAAACCACAAACACGACTGATCTGCACCCACCACCATGTCCGTCACAGTGAGTCCAACCGCCTGCCTACTGCAAGCTTGTTGCTAACAGTGACTAGCTGCATACGACAAAGGGCGATATAAAACTCGAAATATTCTGCGAAGCCGTCCCCAAGACCGCCGAGAACTTCCTCGCCCTCTGCGCGTCGGGCTTCTACAACTCTTCACCCTTCCACCGCCTGATCCCCTCCTTCATGGTCCAGACGGGCTCGCCAGCCTCCGACCCAAAGTCCAAGACTTCCACATCCATCTACGACACGCCAAACCAGCTCTTCGAGGACGAGCTTCGGCCCGCGTTGCGACACAATGCGAGAGGCATCTTGAGCATGGCGAACAAGGGACCGAATTCAAACGGCTCGCAGTTCTTCATCACGTTTGCGCCTGCGCCGCACTTGGATGGGAAGAACACCGTCTTTGGAAAGGTGCTCGAAGGATGGGAGGTACTGGATGACATGGAGGCCGTTCAAGTAGACAAGAAGTCAAGACCGCAGGAGAAGATGGAGATCAAGAATATTACCATTCATGCAAACCCGCTGGCAGGATGAACAATATTTTACTGGGCACAGCGGTAGTAATGCGACTCATGTCAAGCTGGAAGCGTAGTGTCTGATTGGAGCCTGAAGGATGTCGCGTCATCTGCAGAAAAAGAAAGCGCGGATCAAGATCTGAGAGAGCCGACCATTCACACTATCGGCGTTGGGCAGAAGGATATCAAGTCGCTATAGGCATCACGAAGCATGGACGCAGGGAAGAGTTGGAAGAAGATCATGTCACACTGATCATGGCTGGCGAGGCCTTGGTATCTACGAGCGCCGACCTAATGCAAGAGTCAAGGAAATCTAAGAGACATCGAAGTTAGCCCTACGCGCCATTGGTCGCTGTCCCGTTCGCTGCCATGCTAGCCGCATGCTCCTCCTCGTAGCCCTCCGTCTTCATGTCGAGCAACCCAAGTTCCTCCTCCTCCGCCTCTGTCCTCTTGTAGTCCTCGACCTTGATCTTTGGATCGGGCTCCGGTGCCGTGAAGCTCTGGACGTAACTGCTGGCGAGAGGGTCTTCGAGAACGAGAGTGAACTTGTCTTCGCCGTTGATGGCCGCAGAGAGGTTGTGGAAGAAGGTGTTCCACTTCTGCTTAGACTCTGAGTCCATTGAGTCTCCTCCTCCGCCAGCGTCGAAGATGGAAGATTTCAAGTCATCGCGTACTTGGGTCAGTAGACCTTCGATCGTGGTGAACCTGCCACCAAGAGTACCGGGTTCAACGCTGAGGTTGAGCTCGAGACAGGACATGGCGCATGATTCGGCCTTGAGGATATCTCGCGACAGGTCTTCCTTGCTGTCAACGGTGACTGTGATACGACGACCCAGCTCAGGAACTTCGCCTCCGGTTTTGACCTCGTTACTTCGGTCTGCATTGCATTAGCAGGTAAACGTTGATTGTTCCATGATATAAACTTACATCCGCAGTGATCGCATACTGTGCTCATCAGGACCACCTGCTTGAAGTGGGGAATGTTGACCATCTTCATGTTTGTGGTGCACGACTTGGTGCATCCCGGGCAGCTGGCAGGGAAGGAGTAGACCTGGTTCTCCACAATGTCGTCCTCATCCACGTTGTTCACCATTGGGGCGTGAGAGGATGGCATCTCTGGATACATTTGCGAAGCGTGGTACTCTGGTCGGATTTCTGTGGCGGGCGCTTCACCGCTGGCGTCTCCGCTGGTGTCGCCCAGACCGAGCGCTTCGTTTTGCGCCGCCGTTCGTGGGTATTCGTTGCGAGAGTATT